AATTCCTAGGAATTGCATCAAGGAGCTCGGATACAAGTTTTTCGACCATTCATTTTCAATTTTGGTAGGAGAACGTTCACTATAAGCCGGGAATATCCACATTTCGTAATGAAATTTCTTATCCACGTGAATGCTAAAATCATTGTTCAGATTTATAGAAAGTTGTGAAACGCATACAGAAATACATATTAAAGATTTTGGTGAAAAACTGGTTGACTTCAAAGTTTAATGAATTTTATTAAGATTAATCAAAAGGCCAATAACACAGCTATGTTGCGAAAATTGATATTTTTATTTCCGACGTCTCGGTTTCCACGCCTAACTTTTATCAAAGCAACTTTTCAATCAAACGATTACGCGAGTAAGACATACTAACCAATTCAATCATGTGGCTGTGGTTGTCCGTTCATTAGTTAATCGTGAAAGCCTAGGTGCTCTCCTTTGTATACTCGTGTGTGCGTGATTATGAGATAGGCGTGGCATTGACAATAATAGTTTGCCTGATATGATCATTGGAGCTTCCACTGGGTTCATTTCGCATTGTGCTGTGTTGTTTATTGAGGTGTCGCTGAGCCTATCCAAACTGAACAGAGGTTGGCACCATCACTGCGTTGACACAGGTATGGTGTGTGTTGATCGACACAAATTCCACGTGTATCCGTTCAGTGTATGACTTGAAACCTTGTTATGGGATCCGGACGTTGTTATAATGGATTATATGACCTTCCGCTAACGCGCGTAATGCTATGGCTGAGTCACGTTCTAGTTTTTTCATGAATTGTATTCACAGATTACGCATAGATTGATGACGAATGATTTTGTGTGCAAGGATGGTGGAGGAATGACAACTGCGCACCGACCTCAAATGTTCTCACAAAGAATATCTGTCACTTATTGCACTCAATGTTCACTTGTGACTGAGAACATTATGGATTAGTGTAAAATAATAACCTTGTAAGCACATCGAAGGAAATTCTAGAAGACAGGAATAGTGAATATACAGTTACCAAAATGTGCTTTTTCGCACAAGAAGCTAGAAGACTGCTGTGTTTTCCGCAAGAACGGTGCAGTTGAACATCAGCATTATTCAGCCACTTTTCCATCGCTACGATGCTGAAGGACGAGAAGAACGTTTTTATCTCTTGAATGTGGTTGATATGGAATCTTGCCCTACAGTTCATGTAATCCGGTGTGAATTTG